ATAAGTTATAAAATTAAAACTTATTCATATCACATTTTATCTTGTTTATAACCATTAACAAAATAATCTTACATATAATATATAATTCTATATTAGTATTTCAATTTGTGATTATAAATATGAAAATATTTTATGAATTATAATAATTTGATTTTGTATATAGATATTCTAACTATTTGTGAATTGTCAAATGATTTTTATATTCTGGTTAAAAAATAATAAATATTAATTTTATTTAAATAAAGAGTTTAGAAAATAAATTTTTGATATCAAGTATATAATAAGATATCAGTCTTGTTTATATTATAAATAATAAAATTGAAATATATATTAAGAAGCAGTAATAATAAAATTTCATATTTTAATATTTAATTATATATTGTTATTAATAATGAATGATTATATAATTTTTGCTTATATTATGCATATAAGTTAAATAATAATATATGAAATTATAAATTATTTTGATTAACTAACTGTTTTTGATTTCATTAGATTATGTTGCAAATGATAATTCTTTTTATATGTTAGTATATACTGATATTACTTCATTAAATCAATGAAGTCTTACAAATGAAATAAATATTAGAAAATATTGAATAGAGATTTTGAATTATTAATTTATCAATTTATTCAGAACTCATTTTCAATATTATTTTATAATCTCTTAGCTATTCTTATTTTATTATAGAAAATCAAATAAAAAAATGAAGAAATTGATATTTCTTTATTTGCTACTTTTTTGAAAAAGATTGAATCAGATTATCAAAATGGTAATTTACAATTGCACAATGTCTTAGATAAATTTATGAAGCGATATCACACAGCAAAATCAAAGTCTTTTTCTTGATTATCTTCCTTTCTTTATGATATACATAATATAAATTTAATTACCCATGTTAAAAGTGATTCTATGATTCGTGTTCAAGTTAAATCTGTTAAGCATCACAAAATAGAAGGATCAGGAGGTGCAAAACGAAAGCTATCTGTTATTAGGAGTAATGAAAAGGAAAATTCTGATCCTCATATTATTTCCGGCTGAAAAAGAAGAAAATCCAGTAAAAAAGAATATAATTTAAGTAAGAATATGTTAAAAATCAGTTAAATTAAGATGTATTTTATTTATTATTTTCGCAGTATTTTTTAGGCTACATGAAATTAATTTTATTTTAATAAAAAATAGAAATAAGGTTATCTGAAATTTTGTTAATTTCTATAATTTTTTAAAAGCATTTTTTATTTGGATTTATCTTTAAGTAAATGATTATATATAAAAATACGTTTTTAACAAAATAATCGCGTAAAGAAATATGCATGTAATTGGTCCAGCAATCATATATATTATGCCACAGATGATCAGCTACGTCACTTATTTCTAAACAACATATTCGGCGTAACCTGGCACACATTCAAGGAGTACAATAAGACTGTGCCACATTTTCAATTGGACATAGATTCAATTCCAATTCAAATCAATTGGACGTACTGTATAAAGTTGCTAACGCTGTAAGAGTTTGATACCGAGACGGAAAAATTATTTTATATAACTAGTATTGGGAAATTCTCAGTTATCGCAAGAAGGAAACGCCACTCTTCTCAGTTGCATAAATCTCCGTATCATTCTCAAGTTGCTCATGCCAACATCAAGTCGTTCCCGAAAAGCAGAACAATGTTTCTTGATTTATAGAATAGAGTTTAGCTGGATATTTGCTTAAGTAGCATTTTTATTGATATTATAGAATAAATTCAAATTTGATATATGCCTTGAGAGTTTCTACAACAGCTATTGTTGTCTTTGGATGAGTTCCACATTACTTGGTATAATAACGCATCATAAGTATGATAAAACTACAATTATTATGTTATGTTAAACAATTTTTTCATAAATCAAACCACAAGAACGCCATTTTTTAGCGGAGGGAAATCAAAACAATTTCGTCATACTTGGTTTTAAATCGCATGATACACGGGATGGTAAAAATGAATTTTGGTTCCTTTAGTAATTGTTTGAGTAAACTACCAAATTACGAGTATAGCGATATTCATGTAGTGATTATTTTATTGATATTTTTAGAAACTTGAAAAATTAGACGTATTGATTCCAGCCAAAATTGTCGAAATTGGGTAAATTTAATCACTTTCGACTTCTACACAAAAAAACTTGAGTTATATGCACGTCTAGCAAATCGAGAAATTCAACTAACAGATTTTGGAAAATTTCAAAGCTGGAGATCAGTTATGGAAATTCAAAAAACTGGTTGTAACCATAAGCCTCAAATGAATGTTATCTTTATCGTTATACAGATTTACGAGAATGGATTATCAAAGGATGTCACCCTAGGAAATGATTCGATAATTTTCGCAAGTACCGTGTGTTCGTAAGGGAAGTATATTACAATATTTCACTTAATATGTACGAAATCAATACTGAAGAAAAATCATTCAAATTTTCAATCTAGGCAAAAAAGTTTCAACGTAAAAATAACGAACTAAAAATAAAGGTACATGAAAGATGACAAGGAACTTGTAAATCAACCATCATGGATTCCAGAAAAGGTGTACATGAACTGTATAATTTCACTCATACATTAATTATTTTTTCGATAATCTTGCCAATTGCGAACGATAATAAAAGCGATCACGATCATATGATTGTCACCCATAAATGTAATGTCCCCGTCTTTATCGTTATTGTAAAAATGTTTTCCACGATTGTCGCAGTGATTTTTGCAGTGATTGCAGCACTTCTCGCATATTATTATAATGATCTAAAATATACTCTCGAATTGCTAGGATATTTTCGTGATGCAGTTCCGTACGATGGTAGTAAAAACTGTCGTATTATTTCAGGTTAGGAAATTGATATTCTTCTGAGAATGTAATAAGAAAAATAATCAAGTTATTTACAATTCATTTTGATTATAGGCCCAACGTCATGCGAAGATATTGTTATTCATCATCCAAGTGGATACGCTTTTATGGCATGTGCTGATTCAGGAATAAATAGATTGACGCAATATTGGCCTCCGCTTGGCACTTTTGCTAATATGAGTTATGAACCACGTGATTTAGCTTGGGTTTACAATATTAAAGTAAATTATTAATATTTTCGATGATATTTGTTTTTCGTAATAATTTTTTCTGACTACATGTTTATATAAATAGACGAATGAAGCTTCCGTTTTGACATTTAAAAACCTTCCTGAAGATACGGATTTAAGTTTTCATGGATTAGGAATTTACGACGATGATTCAACGAATCATACAAAATTATCGCTTTTTTTTGTGAATCATCGTCGAACCGGAAGTGTAATTGAAATCTTCGAACATACAATAGGCACTAAAGAACTCATACACTTAGAAACCGTCAAACACGAATTAATATATACACCAAATGACGTTGTGCCAGTTTCGGCAAATGAATTTTTTGTGACGAATGATTTTCGACACAGACATAAAGGCATAATGCGAAAGTTTGAATGCAAGTTTTTCGCATAACACGGATTTTTTTACGTCATCTTATATTTTTTTCTTACGTCGTTTCATTTTGATTTAGCAATGACACGTAGACCATGGAGCAATGTAGTCTTTCATTCATCTGCTTCAAATATTACTCGTATCGCTGCGGATGGAATCGCATACCCAAATGGAATTGCGGCGAATTGGGATAAATCAATAATTTACGTTATTTCCACAAGTGATGGTGAAGTGATCTTATATGAACGACGACAAGATAATAGAATAATTGAATTAGAAAGGATACGACTAGGTTATCCAGCAGATAATGCAGCAATTGATGAAGTGACTGGAGAAATATATATTGCTGGTAAGTTGAGATTCTATTCAACTAAAAATAAATCTCTTTACATGAAATTAATCATTTGTATGCTGGCATTGAAAAGGATTCCCGAAAGTTTTGAAGAGTATTGCATACTTTGAAGATCCAAGTGGAAAATATCCAAGACCACCGAGCGTAATATTGAAAATCTCAAATAACACTGATCCCGATCGATACTTTGGCAAAAAGTATAAAGTATCCAAAGTTTTGGAAGACAATGGTGAATTCTTCCATTCATTCTCGATTTCTGCTGTTGATCATAAGAGAAATGCTTTATTGTTGGGTTCCATCTTTAAGGAAACTTGGAGATGTGATTTAAAGTAAAATCTTATTGTTTCATTTTAAATGTCTATTTTTCATTTTATTTGTTGAAATAAATAAAAAAAGATATATATATATTCAGGCAATTTTAAATCCGCAATTTCAAGATTTGCTATATTGAGAGCATCTATATAGGCTTGCCTCAATCCGTTATCTGTTATCGTTATCGTTAGTGACAAAAAAATCTACTTTTTTAATCAACTGTAACAGGAAATATCGATTTGAGATTCTTTAATATTAAAATGAATAGATTTTTAGATATTTTGATTGTCTAAAGCTATAAAATTCGCACAAAAATTTAGTTCAAGCCTGGCAATTGTGGAAAAAGCAACCACTGTTTTTACAAGCTATATACACCTTATAATTCTATGAAATTTTCTTATTTGTTCCACCGGCCAGATATGAACGCAACACACGCAATTACATCCGTTTGATGATAAAGCCCAATTCTAGATATTTAATTAACGTTAAAGATAAAAATTCCGAAATACATGTACTATCGCTCATGTAAATTTACATCAAGTTCTGTGAATATATAAGAAACTTTCCACTTTAGCTTAGTTAATTTGATATGTCCAAATAAAAAATTACATTTGTTAAAAATAGAAAAGAAATACAAAAACGCTTAGAATTAAACAAAAACTAACTGGATGCAAATAAATCATCATTACTATGAACTGTTGATGTATTGCTAAGGCAAGGAATTAATCTGCTTGTGTAAATGGCTCCTGAATGAAGGTTTTGCTTTCTAATGTCTGTTTTATTTAGTTTGCGTGTAGATGCAGCTAATTCATCTTTATCAATATCTTCTTTGATCCACTTTGCACCACGTCTTCTTATTTTTCTAAGTTGTATGCCAAGTTGCTTAACATCAGGCCGCTTTTTTGGATCTTGATGCCAACATTTTTCCATCAAATCTTTCCAAGATTTTGGTATGGCATAAGAAATTTTTGGTCTGAGGCCATCACATATATCTAATTGGAGATAAACGTCATGACTACGGTCACCAAATGGGTATTCACCACCAGAGGCAATTTCAGCCATAATAATTCCAATTGCATAAATATCAGCTGCCTTTGTATATGGCTGATTACGAAACAATTCAGGTGCCATGTAAGGCATAACACCATATGATCCATTTACTGGTTTTGAATCATCAACAGGTCGTGACATTCCAAGGTCACTAATATAACCTTCTAAAACCAATTTTCCTTTGAGCACATTTCCACTATGAAGATCACCATGGATAAAATTTTTTGAGTGTATATGTTTCAGATTATCAACAATTCCTTCCAATAATTCAACTCGTCGATACCAAGTTAAATTTTCATTTTCTTTTTGTATATATTGTCTAATGTTGCCATTTTGTGCATATTTTAATACTAAAGCATATTCATTCTGTTCCGGAATAAAGGTGACTCCGTAGCATCTTAAAGAATTATGTAATCCGCCTAAACATTTATGATGAGTGTCAAGCTGATTTTTTAAGATAATAACTTCAGTTAAGCTCTTTGGAAAATTGAGAATTATAAAAAGGAGAATTTTCTTACTTCATTCAGAAATTCCTTTGTCATATTTTTAGAATTCTTTAAAGATTTTAAGACAACCTTGGTGTTTGTATTACGATTTCTTCCAATAGGCACATACCAGCATTGATATTGCGATGGTGGTCCTTCCTTCCATTCAGCCAGATAAACATTAGCAAATCCACCTTCTGCCAGGAAAGTTATATCGGAAAATTGTTTATAATCAATCCAATCTAACCAGTCTATGAGACCACGTGAATTTTGCTGTGTTTTGTATATGAATTCATCTAAGCAGTTATTTCCAGTTGATAACTTTAATATTTTTAGTTCGCAGTGTTGATTGCATTTACGTTGACTTTGAGATGTATCGTTGTAACATTCTTTGCATATTCCGATTCCGTTCGGGTTACAAGCTTTGCACAAAAGATGCTTGTCACCGAAATGTTTATATAGACAATGGTAGCATGAAAAATCATTATCATTTCTTAAATTGAGACAGTCGTCCATATAACATTCAAATTTAAATCCAGAACTGCCTTGAATCTTGCATTCAGAACAAATTATTGATGCCGAATATAGACTTTTATACTCTGGACAATCATGAGAAGACAAATAAGCAACAATTTTTTTATTTTTACAAGAACAATTTAATTTTAATAAATGAGTTTTTGACATTTTTAATATTGATCATTTTATTTCAAAAACGCTTACACTGTATTTATATTTTCGTAGTTTTAAATCTATTCTAATTTCGTTAATAATATAAGTTAATTGATGCAGCCGATATGCTGTATTTATTTTAATAACTTTTCTCTTAAGAAAATTCCACATCGCTGAAGAAAAAATAGTAGCTAAAATTAAAAAATAACAATAAACAAATATGCATTTCCTTAAGCCATTTTTCTAAGCAGAACAGTGGCATATCTTTTCAAACCTTACAAAATACATGTACATGCATGAATACCGTGTATTGTCAATATCGATATTCGAGAAATCTTTTAAAACGCCGCCGATTAGTATTACATGTACATGTACATAACGATAATCAGGGGTGAATTTGAATACGTAACTGTACTGTTGATTTTAAAATCATAAAATTTCATATCATTTATGAGCTATTTTTTGAAAAAGATATTTAATAATTTGTCATAATTTATATCGATATCAATATGATATTACAATGATTCGAAATTTTTTAAGGGGGGACAGGTTAAATTCAGAAAATTTAAGCAATTAATTAAATTTCTTTTGAGTAACTATAAAATTTTAATTTTTTGAAAGCTTGGAAAAGTAATTTTTTTTTTATTTTCCTAATTTTAACCAACTTTATCCTGAAATTACAAAGTAATTTCTATTTCAATTAATCTTTCTTTAACCAATGCTACAGTTTGCACAGAAAGTAATGGTGGTGACATTGTCCGGTGAATTTTTTGTAACATTATTTTAATCGTTTTGTTTACCAAACAAATAAACATCCATATTATCTTCTCAAATGTCGGACAATTCCCAAAAAATTAATTGTGAAACTGTGAGCATATTAAGAAATTGTTCTTGTAAACACTACACCACTCTTCAAAAAAATAGCCAAATTTCCAAAATTCATTTGTTCTGGCCACTTACGCAAATTTTCATCTGAAATGCATCATCAAGTTAGCAAATTAATAAATGGAAATTATTATCTTACAATAGCTGAAATTAAAGCAAGACTTAAAGAAACACACATAGATTTTGAGATAGGCTTACGAACTATTTGTGATGAACTTCATAGGCGTGATTATGTTGCTGCCATATTCAGATATATTTATCTTCTCATTCCACTAGCAAAAGTGAATCATATACATATTTGCAAATAATATAAATCATTATTTATATCACAAAATTCTTAATAATTATCTGTATACTAATATATAAAGATTGATATTAGATTTTCCAACAGGATAATGATCTAAAGCATATATCAAATAATATTCATGATAATCTTACTATCTGACTATCAAATTATATTCTTCTATGGCTATCATATAATTCTAATCTTAATCTAATTAAAAATATGGATATTTCTTAAGTAAAATATTGAAAAAAGAGTAAAAAAATCATTATGCAAAAAAATTTGATGTTACTAGGAATTTTTGTCATGTTAGTAAAGGAGAAGTGAAAAAATCTTCAAGATAAGATAATTCTTTGATGTATTATTATCAGTATGCTGGATCATATTCAAGCCTGCATTGATGTCAATGATAGATATAAATTTTATGTAGTCCTGTTTAAATGTATTATGAAAATTATTTTTTATTTTTATTTCATAATAAAAATTTTTAATTTTTTTGAAAATTTAATCATCATTATTTTCCGTGCGGACTGTATTATTAAAAGAATTTTTTAAAAAATTTAATCAAAACAAACTTCAAATTCACATGAGTATTTTTGCTTTAAATTATCTTATTTCTTTTAATTGTCCTAAAATTAGAAAATTTTAATTTGCAATTAGCTTATGAAGAATGGAACAAACTTGATCACAGAATTCATTGAAAATTATATTTTATAAAATCAATCTTTATAATCCTTTTAATTTGTAAAAAATTATTTGTGAACATTTCAATAAAAAATGAACATTAACAAAATCTTGAGAACAGTAATAATGTAAAACTTAGTACACTTGAGAACGTAATTTCAACTCTGAAAGCGTGCCTGTTTATAAAAAAAGTTTGGATGCAAGTTTTACTATAAATATTATTTCGAAATCAATTGCTTTCGTTTTAAAGAGACTGTACATGTAAAATAAAAAAATACTTATGCCTTTAAATTATGATTAAAACAACAAATCACATGTCAAATTAAAGTTGGCTTAAAAACCATTATAACTGTCAGTTTTGACATCTCAGGCAGTTTGATCTTACACCCTAGAAAAGTAAAACGTGAAAAAAATTATCAACAACATTTTTCTTTATTTCAAACCTGATTAGATCTACAGTGCTCCGCAGAAGTATCCGACCCCCCAACTTTTCGTAGATCATGTATAACACACCAAATTTTTTCCGAGCACAAAGAACATTACAAATTGGTAGAGTTTCTATATCAGGTATTGTATGTTCATAAATTTTCGCGTCCCAAATATATCAGTTATTTCATAACATCTCAATATCCAATAATCTAATTTTTGAACGTCCAGCGACCCGATTTAAACAAAAATACGACCATTTGATACGTCTAGTCAAGACGAATCAAACAGTATTATTTTTGTTCAAATCGGGTCACTGGACGTCGAAACATTGCGTCTTAAAGTAGCAGATTCATTTTTTTGGCGATCGACAAATATGAATCGTTCACCATTCGATTTGCCTAGATTAGGCAAATTGTATGGTATTATTTCTCACCCAAATTGGATTACTAGACGTCGAGATATTGTGTCCTAATGTGACCGATTTACTGTATTTGGGCATGAAAGTTCATGAACATACAATACCGATAATATGAAGCTCTACCAATCTATAAAAGGTATCATGTTCTTTGTGCTCGGAAAAATTTGGTGCATTACACATGATCTATGGAAAGTTTAGTAATGATTATGTTAAAGATAATATATATTGGCGAAAATTAAAGTTTAATAAAAAATGTAAAATTAACAACGTAAAAATTATAAAAATCAGAATGAAATGCTGTAACTGATTTATGCAACAACTGGTAAATTTTTATTATTTTCTTATCACAACTTTTCAACTGCATTAAAAAAAATCGATAATAATTTATATAGCACGAGTGAATATTTATCATTTATCGTTATTTAAAAGATGTTCAAATAATTCGAATTCCATATTAAGTTCTCAATTACTCAATAATACAGTAATATATGCCGGAAATACCAAAAATAAATTGTCGCTTGAAACCCAATATTTCAAAATCCTTTGATCCCATTTACTATAAGATTCGTGGATTCGAAACAAATATAATGGAGTATCGTCATTTGAGGTTCGTTTTGCACGCAAGAAATCTGTGCCAGGTTTTGTCGATCATCTGTCACGTGTATTATAATTAGCCACAATCCGGCGGCCG